TCTTGGCCAATGTAGTAGGCAGGAATTCTACCTGAGCTATTGTTTTACAGTCCTTCCTGAAATGGAGAAGGAAAGCAGCCTTTGCATGCTCTTTGGTAATTCATGTATTCGTTAAGGCATTTATATTTTTCATTATATTTGTTCATCCTGTTTTTTTCTTTTGACATTACTATAAGGATGCTAGCCCCCTATTTCACGTTGATTGTAAATAACTTCCCTACTTCTCTTTTATTTCATAATTTTACTTAATGATGTTTTTGATTTAAAAGTTCTTTTAAGTTGTCTCAAAGGAATTTCCAGGATAACTTAATAGAACCCCTCTTTTCACTCCCACCCTCCCACACACTCACACGCAAGGGTACTTCAGAAGGCATGTTAAAATAGAAATTAAATTAAAGGGTTTTTTTGTGCCAAAAAAAAAAAAAAGGAATGTTGAGTCCAGGCAGATAAGGAATCTACAAAAAGTTCGGGAAAAAAATGTGTATTATTCAAAAACTGGATTTTTTTTCATGGATGTTTGATGTGGCTTTGTATCTATAGGTGTGCTTGTTTGTGACTGCTCTTTAATCCTACAGCCAGTTCAATGCCCACCTATATTTTCTTCTTTAAATGCATGTTTGTGACTTAATTATATATTTGGTCTCTTCAGGATGACTTTATTATATTAATTATTTTCCTAATCATTTAATAATCTACTCTCTCCCTCACTTCACAATCCTTTATAAGAATAGTGAAGAGAGGCAGCCCAGGCATGCTTTCTGTTCATTAGAAATATTTTTGTTTAGAGAAACAGAGATTTGACCTTCTCTGGTTCACTCCCCAAGCACACACGAGAGCCAGGCTGGCCAGGCTGAAACTGGAGCTGGGGGTTCTGTTCAGCTGAGCAGAAGCAGGGCAAGGATTTGAACTCAGGCATTCCCACCCGAGATGCAGAATTCCATGAGGCATCTTAACTGTTGGACTTAAACACCTGCTCCCCTCTACTGCTTGTTTCAAGGCTGTTTACAAGCAATGTTGCAACAAATGTTAAGAGTTTACATGAATTCTGCCTTAATTCCATCTTTTTCTTAAGGACTTTGTGTCACTGGAAAAACTTGAGGATTATTTTTACGTCTGTTAGCCCTATATTGTTCATTCTTAAAAAAAAAAAAAAATCATTATTCAAAACGGAGTCTGTAAATCCATGGTTCTCAACTGGGGGCCGTTGTGTCCACAAGGGACATTTGGCGGTTGGCGTGGAAATTTTTGGTCGTTGAGGCCAGCAGAAGTGCTGCTGGCATCAGATGGAAAGAGACCAGGGGTCATGCTGAGCAGCTGGCCCAGATCCAACTGACCCAAACTGTTAATGGTGCTGAAGTTGGGAAGCCCTACTCAAAACAGGTAAGGATTGCAAGGTTCTAGTTGTTGAGCAATTACCATGCTAACAGATATTCTAATGGATAGGTAAAAATTATTTCCTTTAAGCTTCCAAACAGGTACTCTCCCAAATGACCCCTTTCCCTGTGTCTCTTCTTCCAGCAGGTCCTCCTAGGTTTCTTGTTCTGCCCCTTGCTTTTCATCCCTGCGTCGCTGTGTCTCCTCTCTCTCCCTTCTGAGTCTCAGCCTATGCTGTTCTCTGTTCATTCTCCCCTTTGACTCCCTAGCTCTTCCACTTCTCCATAGAAGCTGCATTTAGATAGTTTATTCTCTAAGAAAAATAAACCCATCAACCTAAATGATGTTGCTTTTTATAAGGATCTTTTTTCCTTTGTAGATCACTAATCTATGGTAGAAAAAAGAACCGTCACCCTCCTCTGTACCAGTTATTCTCCTTTGAAAGAAATGGGATAAAAAAGGTTAAAGGGAGAAACTGAAAGTACCATGACATCCTTCCCCAAGAGATATTGATATATAAACTGTATGTCTTTCCTCAAGCCTTCCAAGCATTGGTTATGCCTTGGTCAAATCATCTTCACTTCTGTCTTCTTTGGAGGCACCATCTTACCCTGAGGCAGCAGCCTCCTACCTTTGACAATCTTTTAAGTTCCTACAAGTTGTGTTTTAGTTCATGAATGTGCCCATGTGTGTTCAGGAGAATCGATAAGCCATTAAAAGAGTAGATCACTTGAACAGAGAAACCAAATTTCCAGTTAGCTCAAGACAAAGATACGTGTCTTCTGATTTAATTCTACCCTGCATTCCAGTTTTCTTTTTTTTTTTTTTTCTATTGCACTTCTTTGGCAGCCGTGCCTTATCTTGGCGTAGGAAAAGGAAATAATGGGCTTTATTTGCTGCTGCTTACTTTCAGCAGCAACTGCAGCTTATTAGGGTTCTTCGGATCATAGAGAAAGCGTAATGCAATTATTTGGAACTTAATGGCAAGTGAAGAACACAATTATTATTAATATTTAACATCTAAACATTATATTCAGAAAATTGAATACATTTTCATTTGTCATTCTATTTTATTTCCTTTGATATAACTTTTCTAATGTCTGTATTTGGGAAATTTCTCATTACTCTTATCGCAAAGGAATTTTCTGTGTAATTTTATAGACCTCCCCAACTCATCTCCCAACACATACACAAGGTACTTCAGAAGGCTTGTAGAAAATACAGTTAAAACTGAAGGTTTATTTTGTGCAACAAGGAAATCTTGAAGTCCAGGCAGATAAGGAATCTTCAAAAAATTCAGCAAAAAATTGGGTATTATACAAAAACTGGATTTTTTTTCCCATGGATATTTGAAGTGGCCTTGAATCTATAGGTATGCTAGCTTCCGACTTCTTTTTAATCCTATAGTTGGTTAAACACCCACCTCTATATTTTTCTATGTATGTTTGTGATTTATTTTTTATTCTATATTTAATCTCTTTCAGATGATTTTTATTAATCTATTTGTTAACTTCCTAATTTATTTTTCTAATCACTTAATAATCTACTCTCTCCCTCCCCTTACAGTCCTTTATAAGAAGGGTAAGGGGAGGCAGCCTGTGTCGTCACACTTCATGATTGATAACTTGTTACCCATGTTCATTTGCACCAGGAGGTTAAGAACATAGTAAAAATGCAAGTTGAACATCCTTGACCTACAAATATAAAATCTAAAATGGTCCAAAATCTGAAAGTTTTTATTGCTAATGTGATGCTACAAATGGAAAATCCCAAGCCGGATCTCTTGTAGCAGGTCACTGTTAGTAGCAAATACTCTAAACATATTCTAATAAATTACCCACAGACTATGTATAGAAGATACATATCAAACATGAATTATTTTTATGTTTACACTCCCATCAACAAAGTATCATGTTATATGCTTGCAAATATTCCAATTTTGAAAAAAAAATCCAGAATCTAAGACCCTTATAATCCTAAGCACTTCAGAAAGGGGATGTTCGACCTGTATTGCACCTAGTAAATTCTAACACTGAGATTCAAACTCATGTTTAAAATCCCTTAACCACAAAGGCGATGTATGGGCATGCAATCAATTGGTAAGATAAGACACAAGTTATTAGATGACAACATTTATTATGTGAGTGTCATTTTGTGGAACTTCAGTTTATATGTACTCGGTCAGGATATATTCATTGAATATATTTGGTATTGGGGTCAGAGTCAAGGTGACTAGCACCGCGAGTGCAATTCCATCCCAAAGCGTCTGCCTAGAACTCGGCCTCAGTGCTTCTCTTGACAGATGTTCATACCATCAGCTTCGCTGTAACTTCTCAGGAATCCCAGCCCTGACTACTTCGCTGCAAGAATCTCAGACACATCACTCCATTCCGCTGTTTGTTACTCTTTATCATGTATCCTGTATTCTTTATTCCTGTGTGAAATTTCCTTATGTGTTTGTTAACATGTTTATTCTCCACTGCTCCCCCACTCTGCCCTCAGACTACACTCTAGAACATAATCTCCGTGAGAACAGAGTCAGTGTTGCATGGCAAATGCTTCAGGAAATTATTTTGGCATCTCTTGAGTTAGTAAGGAGTCTGTTAGAACTCCCATCCAAAAAAAGATATGGGGCTTGTAAAAATTCAACTGATGTTTTTGCCAAGGCAGTGTGTATTTCCCAGGCAAAATTACCATGACCAATTAGTTTTGAAGAGGCAGAAACTTGGACTTTGTGTATGAAAAAAAAACACACTGTCTTATCAGAATCAACAGAAAAGAGACTGGTTGATGTCAGTTGTGCATCAAGTTTAAATGATCTTTGTTCGTAAAAATGTGGGCAAGAATGGTCGTTCTTGATATGCTGTATTTAAAAACCCACCACAATAGAAAGATGATGAAAGGATAACTAACATAGGAACTGGGAATATTAACCGGTATATAATTGGTCTTGGCTTGCATTGTGGGTTTTTTCCTTGAACATAGGATCGTTAAGAAACTCAGGTAGCAGACCAAACTCAGAGGTATAATTCGCAATTCATTGGTGACCATGTTGGAACATATCTTCCAAAAAGAGGTACATTTATGGCTCTCATTAAATGTAAAATGAACATGTATTGAAGATTTTTTTAGCTTATTATGGAGGGAATTAAGCAAACATCGCAGCCAATTCAAAGAAGAAGATTTTAAAAAAAATAGTTATGAAGGAAAGATGTACTGAAAGAACTATATGTAAAAATGGTCGTGACACTGGCAGAGAGGCTGTCTGCCGAACCTGCATGGGAACACACTCGGTTCTCAGAGAATGATAACTTCTACGTTGCTCTCAGATGTTGCCATTTCTAGACTTGTAAAGTACTTCAGAGACCACAGAGACTAACCAGTGTTCTAAACAATGTATTGTTTTCCATGGAGACACCCGATAATTTTTTATTTATTAGTCCAGTAGAGTAATAAATAAAAGATAATACAGTAATATAGAAAAATCATTTCCAGAATTTGCTGTACAGAGTAGATTAATTTGTGGATAGCAAGGGTACTTGATCTCATTTTTTTACCATCTTGTGATGCTATAAAATATTAATTCTAATTTAATTAATTCTAATTTCACCTAATATTATTGAGTGTATAATTTAATGAGCATGTGGAAGTGCAGTTTGTAAATTCCCAGTTGAGTTACACAAGTATAACTAAAATTAACCTAACTCCAATTTCACTTCTGGAAAAACGTATTTTGATGAACAAGAAGGATTGCGTAACTGTCTAGTTTTGTTAAACGCAGAAATCCCAATTGCTTGCTCATGTGGTTCTAACATATTTTCTCCACATGTTCAGTGTGTATTGGTTTCAGAGGCAGTTTAATCTCCTTGAGAGATTCGCGAGAGTATAGCACCTTCAGTGTAAACTTTGAAGTTTAAAGAAGGGCAAGAAAGAATTATATTTTTTCCATAGAGTGTCAGTCTATTAGAAGGATCATCTTGATGTCAGTAAAAATATCCAGTCTCGAGCACTTGAGAATGATTATATGCAGAAAAGAGTTAGGTACCAAACTTCATCCTTCATTATTTATTTTACTGAGTGTAGTTTATTTTTATGGTTGATTTAATAGTAATATGTGAAAAGTGTAATGGTCCTGACATGGTTGTATGGTAGTATTTTCTTTGTAGAGTTTAAGTGATTAGCTGCATGAGATTGGAAATGTAAGCCTTTCTACTTTCTGTATTTGGTTACAATTTTAGGACTTAAGTTGCTCTAATAACCTAATATCCTGAACATGTTTTATTTCTCCAAATTTATTATATTGCGTGAATTTCAATTGCTTTAAAACTGATGTCATCATTACATTATAGAAAGTTTTCTTTGATTTTTTTTTTCTGACTGGCATTCACTTTCTGGGTAACTTCATCCATTCATTTTTTAAAAAATTTTATTGAGCTCCTGTTGTTTTCTATGTACTGTTCTAGGCTGGGATACAAAGTACCAAAAACACAGATAGGTCCAGATGGTACCCCTCAGTGACAGGAAAGAGACAAGGGATAAGTAAGTACGTCACTGGGTCACTGGAGCTGTGAGACGAGTAAAGGAGAAGATGGACAGTGGGTGGAGAGTGGGATTGTTATTGTAAATAAGGCGTCACTGAGAGTCCTAGAGGCTGCAGGCCTAGCCAGCCCCTCCTTTTGTTTTGACTCAAGAAAATAAAGCCCAATTTGAGGAGTCTCAATCTTAGTCATTGGGGTTACATATGTCTCCCCAGTTGGGATTCCCCATTCATTCCTACCCACCCCCTATTCTAGTTTTCTGTATTTTATTCTTATAATATTCGTTTGCTCCCAGTGTAAGGAAATTCAAATCTTTAGTGGAAAGATGAAAGAAAAAGATGTTAATTATGGACTGCAGGTAAGAGTACATTTCTTATGGGAAGTTATGATCAAACTGTGTAACGAGTTTGTTTAAATGCTTTATTTTTAATACCACGTTCAATTCCTTTGTGCTGCAGGATTTAAAGGTTTGATTTCTTGATTTGCAGTGAAAATGGGAAGGCAGATCTAAGTGATTCAGAGCAAAGTGCATTGTCTGAGTGAGCTCAGAATTTGTTTCCAGAATACTCCTGATTTCAGATCCTGGCTGATGGTTGAGTCTTAGAGGCTGTGAGCACTCAAAGTCCAATCACACTCACCTTACAGCATTTTTCTGAAGAGCAGATCCTTAGAATCTGTGTCTAACACGTTTATCGAACAAATGACTAATAAAGATAGAGAACAGCCCACAATAAACTTTCTTCATTTTGAAAAGATTAAAAATGTTTCTCTAACCGTTTTCTCTCGGCCAGGGTATCATTTAAAAAGTGGATATCTTCAGCACACAAATTATGTAAGTATTAATAAAATCATTTGAGTAGATGATTTTTCCATCCAAAGAGAATAGAAAATAAGAAAAAAAAAAGATAACATGAGCTAAGAGTAAGCCCCCTCACAGTTCTAAATTAGGAATTCAGAGGAGAATGAAGCAGCAGAAGAGGAAGCAAAGAGGACAAAGTTGAAGGCATCTAGAATGACCAGAGGCTTCTTGGCTGCACTGCAGGCTGTCTCCATCTGCGTGGAGGAAAGCCAATGTTAGGGTGGATGATTATGAGTTTCGTAGTGGGCATATTGAATTCAACATTCTGCTAAGACATCAACCTGGAAACCTTTGAATCTGCAGTTGAGCATACACATCCAGGAACCTAATGAGTTGCCTGAGCTAGGAAGTAATGATGTCAAAGAAAACTACAGATCTGTTAGAAAATGATAGTGAGGGATAGCCCCGCCATGTTTTAATGTGTTGATTGGCATACACAATCTTTCCTTTGACATTAAGCAGCCTAAGGACAGGGAGCGTGGTCAGTTCATTTAGGGTATCTTATAACATGCACCTTGCTCATAGAAGTTATGTAATTATTATTGGTTTATTTGAACGCAATTGACCAAAAGTGAAGTTTTATAAAGCAGCATGTTCTGTGAAGCAAGGATGGTGAATTATCAGAGTTGAAATGTAGTAATCAAAAGTTAGTTGTACTCAGAGAGGATGTGACACACACCACGAACTTGAGTGTGGTTTCCTGGAAATGAGCAGCCACAGGCAGTCTGGCAGCTCAGTCAGGTCTGTGCACGCTCACCACAAGTGGCATGTACATCACGCCTTGCAGAAAGGGCAGGTGCAAAGTTTGCTGAGAGAAAAGGAGCATAACTTCAGAAGACAGCTATAAATTTTATCAAAGAAGAAAATTTCTAGTCATTATCACTGTACCACTGTCCACCAAAAATAGCTAATGTAAAACTAGGTGGTTTTATATGAGTATACTGTTTGCCAAAGTAATGTTAAAAGCCTGTGGATTATCCTGTCTGTTCAAGGCCAGATACCTACCAATTTTTTAGTGCTTTCATTACAAGCTGCTACTTTTTTCCCCAGTTTAGTCCAGGTGATTAATAACTTCATAGAACTTTTATTCAATATGAATTTACAGCAGTGGTTATTTCAGAACTACGAAATGAAAAAAATTCAGTTGCCATTGGATTGGACAAAAGGTACAGTACACCAAATAAGAACCTGTTATTGTACAGGACACAATAATCAACTTCCAAATTTTCATAGCTTTTTGAAAATTTACCAGAACCCATTATAGTTCCTATCAAGAAATTAGTTATTTTATTTTTTAAAGACTTAAATTTATTTATTAAAAAGTGAGAGTTAAAGAAAGAGGAAGAGACAGAAAGAAATGTTCCTTCTGTTGCCGCACTCCCTTGATGGCTGCAGCAGCCAAGTCTGGGCCAAGCTAAAGCCAGGAGCCTAGTCCCGTCTCCCAGGCGGGAGGCAGCAGTCCAGACACTGGAGCCATCTCCTGCTGCTGTTCCCAGGCCATGAGGAGAAAGCTGGATCAAAAGTGAACAGCCTGAACATAAACCAGAACGTGTATGGGAAGTCTGTATTGTCCACAGTGGCTTTACATGCTAAATCATGATGCCACCCCAATTAGTTAATTAAAAAAAACCGAATCCTAGTGAGAATAATTCACATGTGTGCATACTTTTATTAGCTATACTAACACACTTTAGCTATTCAAATTTGATACTAAAAAAATATACAGGGCCCAGCACAGTAGCCTTGTGGCTAAAGTCCTCGCCTTGAACACACTGAGATCCCATAAGGGCGCTGGTCAGCCCCACTTACCATCCAACTCCCTGCCTATGGCCTGGAAACGACGGCCCAAAGCCATGGGATCCTGCACCTGCATGGGAGACCTGGAGGAAGTTCCTAACTCCTGGTTTCAGATTGGCTTAGCTCTGGCCATTGTGGCCACTTGGGGAGCAAATCAGTGGACAGAAGATCTTCCTCTCTGTCTCTTCTCCTCCCTGTATATCTGACTTTGCAATAAAAATAATTAAATAAATCTTTTAAAATATATGTGTGTGTGTGTGTGTGTGTCACAGCAAAATCAAATTATGTTTCACCCTTTTTTTAAAAAAAGATTTATTTACTTATTGGAAAGTCAGATATACAGAGAGGAGGAGAGACAGAGAGGAAGATCTTCCGTCTGATGGTTCACTCCCCAAGTGAGCGCAATGGCTGATGCTATCCCAATCCAAAGCCAGGATCCAGGAACTTCTTCGGGTACAGGGTCCCAAGGCTTTGGGCCGTCCTCAACTGCTTTCCCAGGCCACAAGCAGGGAGCTGGATGAGAAGTGGAGCTGCCGGGATTAGAACCGGTGCCCATATGGGATCCCGGCGCATTCAAGTTGAGGACTTTAGCCACTAGGCCACGCCGCTGGGCCCTGTTTCACCCTTTTTGATAACTGTGTTTCCTTGGCCTCAATATAAATTTAAAAGTCCTTTCCTAAAATTTAATTTAAAAAGAAAAGTATTCACAAAGTTATAATGTTAATACTTCTTTCAAAAAGATTATTGTCAAATACCAGCGCAGCAATATTACTGATAAATTCTGTAACACCCAGTGCCCTAGGGAAGCCCTGTTGTTCTGGCTGGGCCTCTGACTTCACAGTACCTTAGCTTTGCTATGGATCTGCATCCTGAAAGAAAGTGTGCCTTGCTTAAGGTGCAAGTGTTCCAGTTCCCACCAAGGAGTCTACTTAACAGATTTCAGAATGGAAAAGTATATGTTATAGTGTCAAATTCATTTCTATAGAGTGTGAGGATTTAGAATTATGATTAGACTAACCTTAAAGGTGCTTTACTGTACAGTGAACCACATAGAAAAAACACAAAATCGCTTTAGAAAACATTTATTGTTTTCGCTAAATGTAAGCAAGCAAAAACAAATGTTACTGTATTGCTGTATAAAACTAATATAATGGAATATGAATGATTATAAGACTGGCTTTACTAAAATGAAACATATCCAGAGGAACTTAAAAAAAAAGTTTGTGGTAAAAGCAAATTAAAAGTTAAGTTTATTTTGGTGCTAAAAGGTTTGAAATCCATGCATAGCTTTCATAGGTCACACTTTCCATGAACATTTCGAAAAACCCTGGTGGTACTGGCTGTAGGCATCAGAGCCAGACTGCCTGAATGTGTGCTCTCACTGTACCAGTAAATTTGATAGTGTTGAGTAAACTATATCATCTCTCCCTTAATTTTCTTTATTTAAAAATTCATGTACTTAACACATTGCTTTTCATATATTTGGTATTCAAATTGTTATTTTTAATCAATAAATAGGTCCTAAAATGTGTAAACATTTTAATTTAGACAACATCTAATTCTAAAAGCCAGCTTTTAACATGGAAAGGAATAAAGAGCAAAACATGAGTCCTTTGCAAGTTGTCCCAACCTGCAGGACACGACGCTCAAACCCTGAGGGTGGACTGGGAATGCCGGGCTGCTGGCCCAGGAAACACACGGACACATGTACTTGGTGGAAAAGAGTGCCCCAAGCTCTTCATTTTACTCCTCATATATATATACCTTCTTCTCTAGGGGAGGAGGTTTTGGGGAGGGGTTTCCTGGAACTGATTATCTTCATTGAAATAGGGAACGAACTAATCATCTATAATGAAACAGGGGACGAACTACTTACTAGAACAGGAACAAGGGTGGAGGTTCTGTTCCCTTGCTTTGCACGGGATGTTCTAGCCAAGTCTAAGGCCTGTAAGTCTGTGGCTCCTAACAGCAAGTGACTCAATGCTGAAGTAAAGATATTTTTGACAACCACAGGATCAGTTTGTGGTATACACAGCTGACCTATTATATAACAATTTATATGCACTTAAGCATACTAGATCAGATTGTGTGGTTTTCGTTGTTTCTGTATTTTTTTGTTTGTTTTGGTTTGGTTGGGTTTACTTTGTACGCTTTCATGATTTAATGTTTTAGCAGGTTACCTTTTTAGAACCAAATGCGAAGATTTTGCACTCTTAAACACTCATTGCATCTTGACTTATAGTTACCTGTAAAGAAATCTAATCTCCTTAATAAATCATTGGCATCTGGAAGCACAGGATGTAGTGTTATATATCTAATACATTATTGGAACCAGGAAAAGGTTTATGGGACAGAATCAGTTCTATAAAATGGTACGTTTTCTAGTCGATCAAAAAGGCTGATAGAAAGCATTTTAATTATGCTAGGAATTTGTTTTAAAAGGCAAAGTTGGGTGTGGCGTTTAATGTACGGAACACAAGTAAAGAAAAACAGAACTATTTTGAGATTTGAATTTCCCATTAACTTTCCTTCGGCTTAATGAAAAATGAGTTAATTGCCATCAAAAGTACTTGGTAGACTTTGTTGAGCAAAGAAGGAAGATTGCCTATGAAATGGTGTGTGAAAGATCATTAGAAAAGAGAAAAATGAAGCCACTTGCTTTATCCACTTAAATTGTAAGAATAAGCAAATACTCAAAGATTTTTTTGAACTTTGTGAAAGGACTATCTAATTAAATGAGTCTCCAAAAGTCAGATTTTGTTACCCAAAGTTTGACCATCACCAAATTCATGAAAACTATAGATACTTCAAGTGCCTAAAGGCCTAGGGCTGAGTGCTGCAACTGAAAGGAAACTTGCTCTGTTATCCGTCAAAACAATAGCAGCCAGAAGTTTTGAAGAAACAACCAGGGAATATCAACCTCTAGGATCAGGAAAGTGGGGATCGTGTGCTTGCCAGGCTGCACCCATTCAGGAGCAGTCATTGCAAGATGTGGGGTAGACTTGAAAGCATTCTGTATGCTACATAAAGGCCCATACACCCAGGTCAAACACCTGCATGGCATAGGAAGGTTAAATACAACCTCTGACCAGACCCCTTGGGGACATCTTCCAGGAAGCCAGTGTTAAAAATAATATCACAGTCAGCTCTAAATGTCAAGAAAGCTGTGTATAGCC